TGTGTGTATGGGGTGGGGTGGTTTTAGTTTAGACTTTTTCCTCCCCGGAGAGGGGTGGGGGTACTTGAAATTTTCGGTGGCGGGGGTAGAATTTTCGGGGAGGGGCGGGCACTGGAAAAAGTATATAATTATATTTCGTTGAATGGGACGGTAGACATGTTTTTTTTTGGGGGGGGGGGGGGGGGGAGTGTGTGTGTGGGGGGGGGGGGTGTGTATGGGGGTGGTGTGTGTGGGGGGTGGGGTGGTTTTAGTTTAGACTTTTTCCTCCCCGGAGAGGGGTGGGGGTACTTGAAATTTTCGGTGGCGGGGGTAGAATTTTCGGGGAGGGGGCGGGCACTGGAAAAAGTATATAATTATATTTCGTTGAATGGGACGGTAGACATGTTTTTTTTGGGGGGGTGCGGGGGGGGGGGGTGGTGTGTGTGGGGGGTGGGGGGTGGTGTGTGTGGTGGGTGGGGTGGTTTTAGTTTAGACTTTTTCCTCCCCGGAGAGGGGTGGAGGTACTTGAAATTTTCGGTGGCGGGGGTAGAATTTTCGGGGAGGGGGCGGGCACTGGAAAAAGTATATAATTATATTTCGTTGAATGGGACGGTAGACATGTTTTTTTTTGGGGGGGTGGGGGTGGGGGTGGTGTGTGTGGGGGGTGCGGGGATGTGGTGTGTGTGGGGGGTGGGGGGTGGTGTGTGTGGTGGGTGGGGTGGTTTTAGTTTAGACTTTTTCCTCCCCGGAGAGGGGTGGAGGTACTTGAAATTTTCGGTGGCGGGGGTAGAATTTTCGGGGAGGGGGCGGGCACTGGAAAAAGTATATAATTATATTTCGTTGAATGGGACGGTAGACATGTTTTTTTTGGGGGGGTGCGGGGGGGGGGGGGGGGGTGGTGTGTGTGGGGGGTGGGGGGTGGTGTGTGTGGTGGGTGGGGTGGTTTTAGTTTAGACTTTTTCCTCCCCGGAGAGGGGTGGAGGTACTTGAAATTTTCGGTGGCGGGGGTAGAATTTTCGGGGAGGGGGCGGGCACTGGAAAAAGTATATAATTATATTTCGTTGAATGGGACGGTAGACATGTTTTTTTTGGGGGGGGTGGGGGTGGGGGTGGTGTGTGTGGGGGGTGCGGGGATGTGGTGTGTGTGGGGGGTGGGGGGTGGTGTGTGTGGTGGGTGGGGTGGTTTTAGTTTAGACTTTTTCCTCCCCGGAGAGGGGTGGAGGTACTTGAAATTTTCGGTGGCGGGGGTAGAATTTTCGGGGAGGGGGCGGGCACTGGAAAAAGTATATAATTATATTTCGTTGAATGGGACGGTAGACATGTTTTTTTTTTGGGGGGGTGGTGTGTGTGTGGGGGGGGGGGGGGTGGGGTGGTTTTAGTTTAGAGAAAAGAGACAGCACTATCAGCCTAGCGCCCGTAGTATCCTTCCTCAACGGGCCATTTTTCTCGTATATATATATTTGTACTTATGTATTTATGTGTAAATGTATATATATAAATATATATATTTATATATATATATATATATATATATATATATACATATATATATATATATATATATATATATATATATAGTTCATTTGTCCTGCCGGTTATCAAAAAAGGTTATGGGTTGGTTCAATATTTACTAAAGTTTACTGACGAGATCTCGTGTTTTAGAAACAAACTTGTTTTAGTTTTTTAGTTTTTTTACTCTAACCCTTACCTTAGCCCTGCCTTACCTAATCATACGTTAACGGAAACCATAAACAATGTTTGTCTTAAATCTATTCGTTGCATCAGTTTAATATTAAAATGTTTGGTAGTTATGTTTGAAGAATAATTTTTAAAAAACAAAATTATTTTATTTTCATTACAATATTTTTGAGCTTTCTGGTGTACCTTTTCATTGACTAACACAAATGTCTGTCTTTAAAATTATCCATGTGTAGGCCTTGCAGAAAGCCAAGTTAGGGCACGGACTTTCCAACTCACACATGGCATTAGAGAGGATACTGAAGCATGATATGTTCGGTACCAAAGCAGGGGGAAGGGCCGATGCACAGGACTACGTTGTTTTCCTTACCGATGGACATTCTACACAACACGAGAAAAGTAACTCACGCAAAAACACGCTTTTTTCTTGCTTTAAAAATGTAGCTGTTGTGAAAATTCTTCATTAGAGTCAGCGATATATCGGGCATATGAAGTAGAGTTAATTTTGTTTCTTGACCTCGGCATATGAAGGGATAATGTGTTCAGCATTATTCCCTTCAGTCTAGGGTTTCCCATGTATCAGTAGTAAATAGTTTTAAATTGAACCAAAAGTAGGAGTCGAGTGGTCGGGTCGGTAAAGCTCATGGTTGCTAAACCGAAAAATCTCGAATTCGAATCCTCGGACAGATGAGCTTGTTAGCTGGGGACAGACACTCTTCTAGGAGAGATAACTCCAAAATCAAACAACTGCTGCCTTATAGTTTGTTCTTGGTCGGACAAAGGCTATGGAAGCAAATCCAAAACGAAAAGAAGGTTGAAATCGGAGTCAATGGCCTCTATGGGGTATAACCAGTTGACACGTATACTTAATTGTGTTGAAGAAGACGAATAAGAACAAAAATTAGAGTGTATTGATATATCACTTCACGACTGCCAAACCAAAAGTTTAGGGTTGTTCAGATTCCAGGCTCAAGACAGGGTCCACTCAGCTTTTATGGGTACCTGGCTCACGTTACTGAAATTAAGACGGTAGAGCATTTGATGTGCATACTAACAGTTGAACTCTACTTCATCTTCTCCATGTCTCTTTGGGCATGAACGGGAAGAAAATATTATGATGATTTTTATATATTTAGTTACATTTGTAAATAAGTAAGTTTGTGTGTTTGACGTCATTATGATTCCAAGTACTTTCGGGTACTATTAGTTTTGCGAGAGAAAAATTTACATATGGTACTCTTAAGTTTATTTTTATTAATACCTTTTGTTTTAATTGTGACTACGTTATCTTGTAAAAAAAAATATTTTTTGAATACTTTTATTTGCAATTTAACTACATCAACATCACCATATTTTACATATTTTCGACCATCTGTCTTTTTGGCTGTGTTTTAGTAAATTCGTTGTAAAAATATTATAACTGTTTATTATAACCATTAAATTCAGAGCAAAGTTAGGTATTTTACGGTTCTAAGCTAATAGAATATGAAAGTTTAATAACAAGACAAAGTTAATATAACCTATAGATTAACGAATATCTGGGTATAATTTTTTAATAATTTTATATAAGTTTTATATAATTTTCTACGTATTCGTAGAGGGCTAAACGTATATATTCTCCTCCAAAAACCATAGCTAGGGAAGCTGTAGAAAAGATGAAGAAAGCTGGAACCAGGCTCGTGTTCGTGGGTATCGGATACGATATTTCCTACGAGCTTTTGGAAACTCTAACCCACAGGCCAGGGGACATAATTTTGTTGAATAGTGTCAAGGACAATGCCTGGTTTCCACAGAAATTCTTAGCTAGCAATCTCTGTACAGGTAGAATTTCTTGTGTGTGTTTTCTTTTTGCGCGGGCGTTTTTTTTTTTTTTTTTTTTTTAATTTTTTTTAATATATACATATAGGGCTACATCCATATATATATATATATATATATATATATATATATATATATATATATATATATATATATATATATATATATATATATATATATATATATATATATATATATATATATATATATCATACATGTATACATACACACATACACATGTATATGTATTTATATTTATTTATAAATGTATAAATATATGATTTGTATGTATAGACACATTATGTGTATATGTATAAATGTATATAAAGAGTTGGTGGGTATTGTTGATGTCAGTTGTGTATGTTAATTTGTTGTGAGTTTGGTACGTAAAAAGTGTGATTTGTACGTAGGATGTGTGTTTTGTAAGTAGGTAGTGTGTTTTGTAAGCTAGTTTTGTGATTGGTAGTAGGTGGTGGTGTGTTTTGTACGTTCGTCGTGTGCTTTGTAAGTAGGTTGTGTGATTTGTACGTACGTTTTGTATTTTGTACCTAAGCTGTGTTTATTAGAGGAGGTTGTGTCTTTTGTACGTAGATTATATATTTTGACTGTCTGATTTTCACGTAGATTGTGTATTTTGACTGTATGTTTCGTACGTAGATTGTGTATTTTGACTGTTTTGTACATCGATTGTTTAATTTGACTGTGTGTTTTGTACGTGTCTTTGTGTTTCGTGCGTAGATTTTGTGTCTTTTCTTAATAAAACTTGATGGTTTTGTTTGTTAACTTGGTTCGTCTTTGTAAGTCAAGTTTGTGTTTTTTGGTAGCCCACCTTAGTTGTGTGTGTCTTAGGTGTAAAAAACATAACGGTTCACGTATGTTAAGACATCTGTTACATTTAAGCTATGTATGTGACAATTTTGTAAAAAAAAATGTTACTTTGTATACTGGTTTTTATGTGTAAACTTTCTGTATTTTAAATTTATATTTAGTACTTTCATTGTATGTAAACTGTATGTATTATTAAATGTAAACTTGGTGAGTCTTTTGCATGAGGACATAGTTGCTTTTTTTTTTTTTAGAAATGCTTTTTCTGATATATCAAGGTTCAAAATAATTTTTATAAAGTACATTTTAAAGGCAGTTTTTATTTTGAATAAATAGTTGTTTTTTTTAATTGTTAATTAATATACATTTAAATATATGTAAGAAAAATATTGTGCTTTTTTTTACACAGTATCTAAAAAGAAAAAGAAGTCTTAAAGGTACTATTTATGTTTTCTTTTTTTTGTTTATTTGAATTTCATTAAGGAGTGAAGTTACTTATTGAATAGTCGACTTTTAAGTTGTAGTTACATTAGAATAATGTAAATATAGAAAAAATATATGTGTTCATGATTTTTTATTTTGTTTTTAACATTAGGTCGAGATGGATGTTCTTCTTTGAAAGAAACATTTACATCGGAAATTACTTTGTATTTGAAAATATTTAGAACAATATGTCATCACCGCTTAATAAAAATAAGTGCAAAACTGTATTGGAATTGAATTTATTTTTAAACACACACACACATATATATATACATATATATATATACATATATATATATACATATATATATATATATATATATATATATATATATATATATATATATATATATATATATATATATATATATATATATATATACATATATATATATGAGAATATGTAAGTGCGAATAAAAATAAGAGAGATGAGAACTGATAAAAATGAAACGTTTTCAGATTTTTAAAATAAAATACGTAAAAATCTTTTAAATAACAAGATGTTATATAATTATGCACTTAAAAAAGAAAATACATCATTTTCTTTATATATAAAAATGAACTACTATTGAAATACCTAAATCTAAAAGCCAACCATGCTTTTATTTCTAATTATTTCAATAGCGGTTGGTTATATTTAAAGAAAAAAATGAGCCTATGACAGTGCTAATAAGAAGGAGGAAGTGGCGCTGGGTGGGTCACATACTGCGAAAGGCTCGCCCAAATGTTACACGCCAAGCGCTTGAGTGGAACCCCCAGGGAAAGCGGAAGAGAGGGCGCCCAAGACAGACCTGGAGGCGGAGTCTTCTTAAAGAGCTGAAGCCAACAGGGATGTCTTGGGAGATGTCAAAATTAATAGCCGGGGATTGGATGACATTGAAGGAAATGGTGGAGGCCCTATATTCCATAGGCGCAACGACTAAGTCAAGTAAGTCAAATTGAAATCTGCGTGCTTCAGTTGTAATATTTTTGTATTTCCACACGACCAAGTTCATTATAAACTGTCGCAATTCAGAAAACAGAGGAACAGGAATGTTAAAGCAAGCTAATGAGGATGGATTGAGTTAGACATGGGAAAAGAAAATGTCAGCATCGCGAGGAAACCGTGGGCAAGGGATCAGAACAATGGTGGAGGACTGTTGAGAAGCGAAAGCTGTTGGGCTTGCATTGGCTGAACGAAAGAGTTGCCTTTACCAGTGACGTCGCTAAGTCGGGTGTCATCCGGTGCCAGAGGCGTAGCGAGGGGGGGGGGGGCGGGGGGGGCGGACCGCACCGGGTGACACCATTTAGGGGTATGACACCAAGGCAAAAAATAGCAAAATATATAGAGAAAAACTTGAAGGGGGGAGGTTGCAAATCGAAAGTTTGAGGGGGGGGGGGGATGCAAATCGAAAAGTTGAAAGTCTGTCCCCGGGAAGGGTCGCTACGCCTCTGGGGGGGGGGGGGGGGGGTGACACCATTAAGTGCCGCACCGAGTGACACCCGACCTCGCTACGCCACTGCCCGGTGCGACACCTAATGGTGTCACCCCCAAACCCCCCCCCCCCCCCCCCCGAAAGAAAAAAATTATATAGTTTATGATGTGTTCATTACCTTATAGTTAATGACGTTTTATTTACTAATAGTTAAAAAACATTATAACAGCCGATGTATATATCGTAACAAGTCTGAAGGTCTAAAGATTCTTTTTTATCTAGTAATCCATTGGGCAGATGAAGTAGAGCTCATTTGTTTCTTGACTTTAGCATATGACGGTTTTATATGGTCAGCACTATGTCCAGCCGCCTTTATTTTCCCTATCGTGAGTCAGGTACCCATTACAGCTGTGTACTCGAGTACGTTCCACTGACATGAACCCGGATTTTGGGTTAGCAGTTTAGCGCTCTGACACTAGGCCACGTCGTAACAGCCTAGCCTTTTAAAGAAAAGTTAATCTGTTGCAGTTTCTTGAATGTGTATAGTTTTGTTTTATCACTTTGAAAACATGACTAGATTTAAGTTGGTTTCGTAGAATTGTAAACATTACTAGCTTATCAATAGGCAGGTTTTTTTATTCACTAGTTATCTCTGAGACAGAAAAATAATGCAGGTTGTTTGTGTAATGAAATGAAATTTTAAGGGGTGATTGCATTAACTAGACGTCTCGACAGATACTTTATAAGTAAAACACATACATCTATTAAGTAAACAAACATATACTTTGTAATTAAAACAAACATACACTGTAAATGTAAAACAATAAGGCGAAACAGTTACTTAAAATGATATTTTTATTTTTCTTGGATATATATCTTTTTTTTTATTAGTGTAAGTAAAGAAGAATACCTTTTACTGCGCACTGCTTCTTACTGCTCACTATAAAAAAATTTTCAAAATTTGCATTACAAATATGCAGAAAAAAATTGTAATAAAGCTTGTAATAAATTATCACTATGTGCGAGTAATGACAAATATAATCAGGATTTGTGTGAGCATCATTTTTTTTTGTTTGATAAATTAAAGCTTCCATACTGGTATAGAAAGCGGACGTGTGTTAGGTAACTTTTAATTTTCTTTCATATGTTATTTTAGTGATTGGTGTGTCGCTGTGAATGATCCGTTTTCTTGTTAATGCGAGCTATTGTGTAGTACCGGATCGGATTCCTATTAATTTTTATTCATATTTTATTAAACCAAACTTCATGTATCAGAACATTTAGTTTAAAACATTATGTAAAAATCCGTTTAGAACTCAACAAGCAAAAAAAAAAAAAAAAAAAAAAAGAACATCGTGTAGGGGGTAACAAAAATTGTTTCAAAATTCAGATGGGGTGCGAGGCTTTCTGATCTTTTTAGGACAATGAAGTAATTAAGTATAGAAGGTATACGTAGAGATGTGGAGTGGACGAACACACCTGATAAACAACAAATGTCCACTTTTTGAAACGTTTGAGTTAGCGCCATGTGCACGTAGTACTGGTGTATATTTATCAGGTATAACAATATGAAAGCGTTAAATCAGTAACGTAGCGAGGGGAAATGGGGGGGTGGGGGGGCGGCGCGGGGGGGGGGACGTATGTCCCCGGGCGCCGACCTTAGGGGGCGCAAAATGGGTTGGAAAAATAAAAATGAAATCTTGAGGTGGGTGCAAATCGAAAGTTTGAGGGGGGGGGTGCAAATCGAAATCTTGAGGGGGGGATCAAATCGAAAGTTTGAGGGGGGGGGGTTGAAAATCGAAAGTTTGAGGGGGGGTGCAAATCGAAATCTTGAGGGGGGGATCAAATCGAAAGTTTGAGGGGGGGGGTTGAAAATCGAAAGTTTGTCCCCGGGCGCCTCTACGTTAAATCCCCTCCTCGTACATACCCCGTTAGAATGACCTCGCACATACCCCGTTATCATGACCTCGTACATACCACGTTAGCCTGACCTTGTACATACCCCGTTAGCATGACCTCGTAGATACCCCATTAGCCTGACCTTGTACATACCCCGTTAGCATGACCTAGTACATACCCCGTTAGCATGACCTCGTACATACCCCGTTAGCATGACCTAGTACATACCCCGTTAGCATGACCTCGTACATACCCCGTTAGCATGACCTAGTACATACCCCGTTAGCATGACCTCGTACATACACCATTAGCATGACTACATACCCCATTAGCATGACCTCGTACTTACCCCGTTAGCATGACTACATACCCCGTTATCATGACCTCGTACATACACCGTTAGCATGATCTCGTACATAACCCTTAGCATGACCTCGTACATACCCCGTTCGCATGACTACATACCCCGTTAGCCTGACCTAGTACATACCCCGTTAGCATGACCTCATACATACCCCATTAGAATGACCTCGTATATACCCCTTAGCATGATCTCGTACATACCCCGTTAGCATGACCTCGTACATACCCCGTTAGCATGACCTCGTAAATACCCCGTTAACATGACTACATACCCCGTTAGCATGACTACATACCCCGTTAGCATGACCTCGTACATACCCCATTAGCATGACCTCGTGCATACCCCGTTAGCATGACTACATACCCCGTTAGCATGAATATATACCCCATTAGCATGACTACATACCCCGCTAGCATGACTACATACCCCGTTAGCATGACTACATACCCCGCTAGCATGACCTCGTACATACCCCGTTAGCATGAGCTTGTACATACCCCATTAGGATGACCTCGTAGATACCCCATTAACATGACTACATACCCCGTTAGCATCACCTCGTACATACCCCATTAACATGACCTCGTACATACCCCGTTATCATGACTACATACCCCATTAGCATGACTACATACCCCGTTATCATGACCTCGTACATACCCCGTTAGCATGACCTCGTATATACTCCGTTAACATGACCTCGTACATACCCCGTTATCATGACTACATACCCCGTTAGCATGACCTCGTATATACCCCGTTAGCATGACCTTGTACATACTCCGTTATCATGACCTCGTACATACCCCGTTATCATGACCTCGTACATACCCCATTAACATGACTAAATACCCCGTTAGCATGACTACATACCCCATTAGCATGACTACATACCCCGTTATCATGACCTCGTACATACCCCGTTAACAAACCTCGTACATACCCCGTTATCATGACTACATACCCCGTTAGCATGAACTTGTATATACCCCGTTATCATGACTACATACCCCGTTAGCATGACCTCGTATATACCCCGTTATCATGACTACATACCCCGTTAGCATGACCTGGTACATACCCCATTAGCATGACCTGGTACATACCCCATTAGCATGACCTCGTACATACTCCGTTAGCATGACTACATACCCCGTTAGCATGACCTGGTACATACCCCATTAGCATGACCTCGTACATACTCCGTTAGCATGACTACATACCCCGTTATCATGACTACATACCCCGTTAGCATGACCTCGTATATACCCCGTTAACATGACCTCGTACATACCCCGTTATCATGACTACATACCCCGTTAGCATGACCTCATACATACCCCATTAACATGACAAAGTCTCTTTGCCACTGCGTCGCCCGTGTACCTCAGGTCGTCAAAGTTCTCTGTCCACACGAAGTCCTCCGGTTCTGAGGAGGCTAACAACAGCTTATCCAGCCTTACGCCTGTGCCGAACCCCACTGTTACGATCTTCACTTTCTTTTTTTTAAGTTTGCTGAAAAGTTTCAGCGCTAGTGGAGGAAATATAATATTTTAACCGCTGCTTAATTAAAAGCATACAATTAATCACCGCGGATCAGTGGGGAAATTTTAATTAGAAATTACTGAAAAGGTTTGGAACGTCGTGGTTAAATGGCAGAGTATACGACTGCTGAAAGTCTCGAATTCGGGTTCAAGTCTGTAAATGTCCTCGAGGCCACCCAGCTCTAATAAGTACCGAACTCACATTTGGGTATACTAATCTTACTGACAACACTATCCATTCAAATAACGAGGTCACAAAAAAAAGTTAACTCTACTTTACATGCCTCATAGACCGTCATTTTGGAAAAGGACATTTGCTTACTATTAAAAAGCGGCTGATATTAGCATTACTGTTTGAACGTGGTTTTAAATTAAACGTATATCTATTTGAAATACAAGTCGATAACTTAAGGAAAGCAGAGGGAATTTGTAATAACCAGTGAGACTCCTTATATTTATAAATATATTTTAAACAGATATCACTTATATATATATATATATATATATATATATATATATATATATATATATATATATATATATATATATATATATACATATATATATATATATATATATATATATATATATATATATATATATATATATATATATATATATTGTCAATTGTAGTTAAACAGCTAGACACTAGAGTAGCTCTTGATAAATCTTAGGTAAGAATTTAGTAATCTTTTTCAAAGAGTTTATCGTTCTGCTTTGGAAGTGTGTAACATTGCATTTGTTAAAATACCGTTTGACCAATTTTTCACCTTTATTTTAACAACCTCTAGATCCTAATGGGAAGCGGTTTTGAATGTTGACATTTAACAGATGGAAAAAGACTTTTAAAATAGAGTGAAAAAAAAGAACCAAACAACGTATTGGATGCATTACTTTCCCTGGAAACTGAAGCGTGCCCGTTGGTGATCCAGACAATGACGTCCTGAGCGTCCGATCGCCCACCGTTCCTTGTCCCGAACAGGTCTTTGTCTATAATTGCCTCTAGCGCTTTGTGGGTGTAGGAGAATGTGTTGTACCGCTTAAGCTCTTTCAGGGTCTAGGGAGATTTTCAATAAACTGGTTAAGATGTGCAAGATTGTTCGGATTGTGAACTGCTAGAAGTATCCATGTTTATTTGTCACATATAACAAAAGGATAAATACTTATGTATGGTAATCGCGATATACTAGTTTTATACACCCGGCACCTGTTAATCTTAAACAGCTTTGTATATTAATATATACATTATATATATATATATATATATATATATATATATATATATATATATATATATATATATATATATATATATATATATATATATATATTTATATATATATATATATATAAATATATATGTATATATATATATATTTATATATATATATATATATATATATATATATATATATATATATATATATATATATTATAAGTATATGTAATATCATGACAGTAATTGTTTTAATAAATGGAACACACACACATATATGTGTGTGTGTGTGTGCGTGCGTGTGTGCGTGCGTGTGTGTGTATGTGTGTGTGTGTGTATACTCCATTTATACATACAATTACTGCCAAGATCCGTACAATGAACCGACTGAAATCAAAATCACCGTCAGCAGTTTCTCATTATCGGAGTACTTCCCCAGTTTGATTGCCTTGTGAGCTTTGAAGCTGTAGGTCACAGCACCGAAATGTGTTCCTTTACTGCCGAGGGGAAACCGTTTGGTGATGTCCCTAAGGAAGTGTATTTGACCGTCCAAGTCGATGCAGGGAGCGAGTGACGTGTCCAGCAGGAAAATGATGTCCATCTTAGTTTTGCTCGGGCAGACGTTAACTCTATCCGAAGAACCGGCTGGGTGGAATGAATTGGGTAAAATCTGTTTGAAATTATGTCGTTGGTTTGTTCTTAATTTAATTTGATTTGATTTGATTTAACATTTATTACTCCCGAGATTTATTACAACTAGGGGAGGTTGAAATTAAATAAATACTTCGACTTCTATACAGTATTTTTAGGAATTTACATTTAAACCTACAAAATTCTAAAGAAACGAATCTAATTTTTTGTTTACATGAAAATAATTAAAAAATTAATTTTATTAAAATTAAAAATAATTAAAAAATATTTTTTTTTAAATTTTATTCCAACTCTTTATTTTAAAACTTACGAAAGTTTTTAAAATAATCGTACCAAAAATTTTCTGACGTATATAGCTTTCAAAGTTAGGCAACCAAACAGACGATTCAAGCTGAAGTAAATCACCAGGGGAAGAATGCCAGCTTTCGCTAAGATCTGCATCTCCAAGACCGACTACAAAAACCTTAATACCTGCTTCCTTCCAAGCGGAGATTTCTTTGACTATTTAAAACAACATGATGATTCAATACAATAGGTGTTTTCGATAGTTTATTGTGATAATATGTTTATATATATATATATATATATATATATATATATATATATATATATATATATATATATATATATATATATATATATATATGATATTTTTATTTATAGAACATTTGTATATATATATGTATATAATGGATATATAGAGAACGGGTATAGTTAAATAAATATATCAATGTATGCATATATATATATATATATATATATATACTAGCTGCATCCCGTGCTCCGCCACGGTAAATCTTTTTAAAATATACCAACTTTGGAACAGAACAAAACAAACGAAAACACAACACAAACACAAACAAAACACAACCACAACACAACCACATTACAACCACAACACAATCACAACACAACCACAACACAACCACAAAGCAACCACAACACAACCACAACCATAACACAACCACAACACAACCACAACACACGGTAAATCTTTTTTAAATGTACCAAGTTGGGAACAGAACAAAACTAAATACAACACAAACGAACGCAAAGAAAAAACAAAAACGAAAAAACAAACACAACACTCAACATAAACTCAATTTAAATGTAATCATAAAGGCATATTGCTCACAGTCTATCCCGTAGCGCCAAATCGCGCCCTTTCCGAGCGCCGGCGGAAAATTTCGATTTACACCCTCCCCCCCCCCCCCCCCTCTTGCTACGCCTCTGTTATAAAACCCCTAGCTTTTCCGCAAATAAATTAAAGGCAGTATTTAGAATAGCCGTGTTTTACCGACCATATTGCACTTTATAAATTCATGCATTTTTTTCAGTACTTTTAAAAATTTACAATAAAGTTTCATGACTAAAACCATTGCGCACCTAATGAACGTGATGACATAATATAGTAATGGAGAATAGTTGATCAAAAATTATAATTAGTAAACAGTACATTCAGTGAATAAAATAAATAAACGATAGCCTTTTATCAATCAATGCTAATAATAATATTCCAACAATAATGTACTCTTACACGTCTGCATAATTTGCATTCACATTTTGCTAATTATATTATTCCAACAATTATTCCGTCTTGCAGATTTTGCATTCACATTTTTAGCGTGAGTTCAATTTATCTTTGAATTACCTCCATTGGCAAAATTACTAAGCAGTTTAATTAGATTTTTCTACCGTACTGTTATTATGTTATTAATATGTATCCACTTTTTCTGGGAATATTAACGAAAACTATATTTGACATTGATCCTTTTAATATGTTTTAGCAATGTGCGTGTATTTAATATTCTCTTTACGTTATGCAAAATTGTACAAACAGTGGAAATTATAAAATAGCTCTATGCCGTTATATAAACAAACCCTACTCTATTATTTATAATAAGACACTGCGGTGCACTGAAAAGCACAGCATGGTGCGAATGTTTACTTTTATGGTTCCAAAATCTATAGCGATGACGGACGGACGGACGGAAGGAAGGAAGGAAGGACAGACACAGCCCGCTTATATTATAGATATATATATATATATATATATATATATATATATATATATATATATATATATATATATATATATATATATATATTATATATATATATATATATGCATACATTGATATATTTATTTAATTATACCAGTTTTCTATATATCCATTATATATATAATATATGGGCCATTTCCTTTATATATATATATATATATATATATATATATATATATATATATATATATATATATATATATATATATATATATATATATATATATATTAAATATATTATATTTCTATTGGTATATATATATATATATATATATATATATATATATATATATATATATATATATATATATATATATATATATCAGTCACATAGAAATGTACTAGCATAATACATATATATGTATTATTCTATTAGAGCACCCGGTACCATGTTCTTTGTGTACGCGTCGCATTGGATTGGATATTCGATGCATCGAATCTTCCAAAACAAAAACCGTGATTCACTTAATCTGAATCTGAATCATAATAATCATGAGACCGTTTCTATTTATCGGGCTCTTCAAATAAATAATACAGAAACAAATTATTAATCCGAGCGTGAAAAATAGCAACGATTTAGACTTGTTCTCGTGCCTTCCCTCTGTCCATTTTCTGGATGAGAACATTAAAACAAAACAAAAATGACTAAAGTTCATTAAGTTCCAAACATCTTTAAAACTGTAGCCGAAAGTTAATAATAAGTTTGTTATGCATCAAGCATTGCAAAAGACAAAAATTAACATTTTTACACGGCCATTTTTATTTTAAAGCTAAAACCTCACCCCTAACCTAAGTTCAAAATTCAATTCGGCTTAGTTCTTACACGCTATCTCTATATAAGTATATATATATATATATATATATATATATATATATATATATATATATAGAGAGAGAGAGAGAGAGAGAGAGAGAGAGAGAGAGAGAGAGATATTTAAAATACGTTGATTAATCTACATAATATGGTTTAGAAAGACTGCATAAAACGCGTTCCTGTTTAACATACATATTACCATTATCATAAAATGGGGCTGTTCCATTGGATATGATGGTCATAACACATGGATCAGAAATCTGCGTATCATTTCTCTTTTGACAGTGTCCTTTCAACATTATTGAGTCAACTAATTCTTTGACGTTCTTTATTGATATATATTCATCCTGTTTCGACAGCTGTATGAAGATGAAATATTAATTGTGTTTGAATTGTATCACATACACGATGATTATAATGAGAAAACCTTAAAAAGTCACACAACATAGACGTTTTGTGATGATTTACGATTCTGTCAATGTATTTAACCGGTAATGTTCTTTTGTCGAAGATGCATTTCTCATTTAATCAAATTGTTTATACTGTATACTCTATTTATCTATTTAACGCTGTATGAAATAACTTTGTAATATGTTGTTTATAAGTAAGCAGCGCGTGTGACTGTTACAAACTACAAGATGATGCACTACCGCACTCATCGTTCAAAATGGTTCCATGACAAATGGTCTCAGGATAAATCTTCTCAGACAAAATGTCTCAAAGGCAAATGATCTCATGACAAAATATATCATGACAAATGATATCATGGATAAATGAACTATGGCAAATTTCTCGGACAAAATAATCTTACTACAAAATATTTGTAGTATTTTTGAAAATTTTAGTCGATTGTAACCTTTTTGTATTATATATATATATATATATATATATATATATATATATATATATATATATATATATATATATATATATATATATATATATATATATATATAAATATAATGTATATATTATATATATATATATATATATATATATATATATATATATATATATATATATATATATATATATATATATATATATATATATATATATATATATATATATATAAGGTATTTTTACTCAGTTAATTAAAGTGTAGTAATTTTGAGAAAAGTTTTGTTGCATAGGTTTGTCACATTACATTAAACATTTAAAAATTTCTATTAGAAATATAATGCTACTGCGTAGGTGAGGTTCGATAGACAACCCGAACACATTAGGTGGACGTAGCTAGATCAAAGAGAACCACTCAAAAATGGGACGGCGTGGCCTATTGGTAGAGAGCTAGACTGACAACTCGAAAGTCTCGAGTTCGAATCCGGGTTCAAGTCAGAAGCATGGGACCATGGGGGACACCACCACCACGCCGACCCGCTCATTCCCCCCCCCCCCCACCCTCTCCTGACATGTGCAAGAGACCATATCGTTATCACCCCACCCCCAACAGTCTGATGAGCTGTTATTCACGCCAAATGTTTACAATCGTAGAGCCGGGTTGAATCTTTGTCGTCCGTAAACTGTCGTCATTTAATTTAATACATTAAAGAAAAACTAAGCTTACCCTTTATTTTGTGTATTTGTTAAATTTAGCCATTTATTTTATAATATCTAAAAAGTATTAAGAGAAGTATAAATATTATTACAATCATTTACAAAATGTTTGAAAATCGACACAAATTCTACATACTATAAATATAGTAACTCGATTTTTTTGTCTGAGATCATTTGTCCATGATAACTTATTTCTTGATATATTTTGTCCTGAGGTATTTTGTCATGCGATCGTGTGAGATATTTAGTCGGGAATATTTTATGTGAGATATTTTGTGTGAGATATTTTGTGTGAGATATTTTGTGTGAGATATTTTGTGTGAGATATTTTGTGTGAGATATTTTGTGTGAAATATTTCTTGTGAGATATTTTGTGTGAGTATTTTGTGTGAGATAATTTTCTTGAGATATTTTGCTTGAGATATTTTGTGTTAGATAACTTATCCTGAGATAATTTGTCCTGTCACCTTCGCATTTCTTTTTACTCCAAATGTTTTCTTATTTTATTCGTGTGTTTAATACAAAACGTTTGGAAATCAAAAGATCAATCTCTTGGCAAATTACGATGCTCAACAGAGGCTCTCTTCCATACTATAGTTTTTGTAAACTTTCCCAGAGCCTAAGCTGTCAACTTTCCCATTATGTCGTAGTGACACCGCGATTACAAGTGGTTCATCACTCGTTCGCTCATTTACTCGTTCGCTCATTCACTCGTTCACTCATTCGCTCATTTACTCACTCACTCATTCACTCGTTCACTCATTCACGTATTAACTTATTCGTTCATTCACTCATTCACTCATTGGATCGTTTACTCACTCATTCGTTCACTCGTTCACTCATTCACGTATTAAATCATTCGTTGATTCACTCATTCACTCATTCGATCGTTTACGCATTCACTTATTATAACTTATAACTTTTGGGCAGCGTTATTTGAACCTAATAAAAGTCATACTCACTTTATAAACACTGTCTAATTTGGAAGCTTTCTGCAAGTCAAGCATTATAGCCGATTTTCCGGTAACGACGGCAATTAGAAATTTTATTTTCTCTTTGGCATATTTATCTTCATCCATAAGTTCAATAATAAACCTAAGTGTGTTTAAATCCACGTTCGATGTGAAGTTGGAAGCATCAATGATAAAAACCACATACTTTACATTTGTGTCCTCTTGCTTGTTGTCATTTGCTGTTATGAAATAAACATAACGTATATATACAGAAGTCTCTTTATGGATTGTAGAATTGATATTTTTCAACTTTCTAAATCTATAAACGCAAAAATGTAAAGAAAAGTAAGCGTACTTTATCCAGCTTGTTTGGTCTGAATCATACCTTCTAATCTTCCAATAAGTTTGTTGAAAACGGTTGATAAGTCATCTGGTGATTGTATAATGATGACGTTGTCAGGTGATGAGGCCAGGTCTGTAATCGAATTATCTTTGACGTCTTCTCCTACTCCTATTACAACAATTCCATTTCCTATCTCTTTCCATTCTGTAACCTCGTCACCTGTTTAAAATGTAAAAGCTGCGAAATATCCTTTACAGATTTTAACAGCCCGTTTAAATATTATATAGCCTACATAAAATGTTAGTTACTGCGTCCCATATAGAAATTTTGTTTGCTAGAATATGATTGAGGATTTTGTGTTACTTTACTACAAGTGAAGTTCTTTTATGGATTATCTTGTACAGCGATTGTGTATAGGAGTAATTATTATGCGTGCAAACGATTTGAACATTTGCTTGTTTGCATCGATTTTTATACATCTTTGTATTTTCCAATAGTACGTCGTTACAGCTGCTGTATATAACAGAAATGTATTAACCATTTCATAATAATTTTACCTTAAAATTTTGTGTATAATTCTCTATTTATTTTATACTTCCTTTTGTCTTCTAGTAATTATATGAGAATTTAAAAACTATCATTTTATTTATGTTCCGTTTATGTTATTACGGTATAAATAATTTCGTTTCTTATTAATAGCTAACCCAGCATGTTAAAATTAGTATAGCATATCTAAAATATTAAGTACGGCGCCCTATGTAGAACTTTCATTTGCTAGAATATGATTGAAGAGTATTAGTGACTTTACTACAATAACACGTGAATATTTATTATGGACATTTGTGTGGAGCGATTGTGAATATAAATATTTAGATGAGTGAAATCGATTTGCTTATTTGTTTCCTTGTATAGATTTTTTACAGGTCAACGATATTTCAGATTATACTTCGTGTTTCAGCTGATGTTTATAACATAAATATATTAACTATTTCCTAGTAGTGTTTATGTTAATATTGTGTGTATAATTCTCTTATTTATTAATACTTGCGTGTAATATTTTCTAGTAATTACATCGCAATTTAAAAACAGTCATTTTATTTATGTTCTGTTTAGGGGTCGTCCATAAATGACCTCATGCTTTTTTTTGGCCATTTGTTTACCCCCTTCTCCCTCCTACGTCACACATCATCACAAAAAGTCAGCCCCCTCCCCAAATGACAGCACACTCCACCCCCCCCCCCCCCTAATTTACAATTTATCTTATGTTAGAAATTTTTTGTTTTTTTTCCATCCCTTTAAAATTACCGCTTGTTGACACAGCATTAATAATGAGCGTGCAGGACCCATACGTGGAACCAGCAGGTAAACAATAATACAGTGATGTAATGTTAAAGCTGAAAGGATTACATTATTTTAAAATACTTAATGTAAATGTAGGTATTTCTTGCAGACATGATGACACGCGTGAGAATAACAATATATTGAGTATAAATATGCAAATTATTTAACTGTTAGCCTTATGCCCAGACCTTTACTTTTCCTGGTATAGTTCATTGTAACCTATAAAATGGACTTTATCTCTCACAAAGCAATATAAATGTAATAGATTTTTAATAGTAAAGACTCTCCACTAGAGTATTAAATTGCGTGTTTTACTGTTAGCGAAGAGGATGTTGAAGCATGACAAGAAATACTTTCACACTGACTTAAATCTTAGCAAATATTTAGAAATTTTATTAATAAAACAATTTTTGAAATATAACAAAGGTTACTTTGTTTATCAATAAAACAACATTGTGCAAATTTCGAATCAACAAACGATTAAATAATAATATCAGTAACATGTTATACTTAACCGACCATATCTATATACATTTATATTTCTAATTTTTAGCAAGATCATTAACCGAAGAATTTAAAAAACTACTTACAACAGCATTAATAAGGCAATCCTCAATGAAAAGTTGTGATATTTAAGCTTATTCATTCTCCCATGGAGAATTAAAATGTTCCTTCATTGAATACACAAGGACGGAATTGATTTTTTTCCTGTATGGAATGGGAGTTCCCTTTTCATCAAGGTCTTCCTTTCCTATCCAATCTACACTCTCACCATTAATTTCATTGGCAATTATAATCATTATAATAATGGGCGACTGGTAACATGGAGGAAGAAATCTATCAGTTATTAAGCTGAACTACGAGTTTCTAGGCTTTGAATAACATTTACCATCCATGCATTTAACGATCTGGGTCAAATACTGGCTAGTTCTCACATAAATATCGTACGTACTCTGATCCTTTGAGAACAGAGACGTTTCTATGTATGCTGCCACTGTAGGAAATGTATCCACTGTCAAGTGTGTCCATACTTCTGCCAATGTGTTTCCGACAAATAGAAAATTATTCTTCTCTAAATCTGTGTCTATTGTTACTCCTCTTTCATCCAAATGACTGCCGTAGTGGTCATGGGGTAAAATTAATCCTGCGACCTCATTGCTAAGTGGCACTATTTTCCTTTTAACCCTATTGAATACACTTCTTCCTGGTGCATTGGTAGCAATGAACAAACAATTATAGTTCTGATTGAGAAAGTGGTTATCGTAACTTTAATGACCTTTTGATACCTAGGGTTTTCGTCTGGGCCGCCATCAACCGTCAACACTAGTATTGGTTTAACAATTTGATCCACACCACCATTTGTGGTATCATCAAATTCATGTTAAGTAAGTATTTTATTCCAAATCAGGTTCATGACTAAGCGCTGTGGATGAGGAATGTTTACCAGATCTGATTGATATGTATGTCGGGCCGGAATATCCCACAGCTTCTCGATTTTCCAACGTGTTGGGCTGAATTTTTATCTCGGCATAAGCTGAAGGGATCAGCGTGTGTCCAGCAGCCACAACTCAGTCATGGTCAGGCAAGATCACCCCGTGTTCCATGTGCATGAGCAAAGTACTCGGTTTTTTAGCTGCTGTCAACCCAAGCGGAACGTGGGCCTTGTCATCTTGACTTTTAAAGCATACCTTATTCAAGCTAGCTCTTCTAGATGATGCATTGTTGCCCCTGTAAACAAGCGATCAATGTGATTTGCATGGCAATCGTTTTGCGCTCTTGTCAGTTTTACTGGGACTGTCGATACATGTCGTTTCCCCTCAAGAGAAGAAGTACGTTTCGGCAGCAATCGAAGGTACAGCTCACTTCTACTAATTAGAGACCCATCCTGTTTTAACTGATCAGTTAGCTGATCTAATGTTTTGATAGTCCTGTAGACTTCGTTCTGCCTTCTCTCGTGTGATGCTGATTCATGCAAAGCAATGTATATATTAGTTTCCAATAAAGAAGATTAATCTTCTTCAATCCTTAGCCTATCAGGATTAGATATAACATTTAAAGTGGCGCGTAGCCCCGGATTATCTTCAAACAAAACATACAGTTTTCTTTTCATTTCGAGCTTTCTGAGATCTTATTTGATCAGATATCTACCTCTTTAGTTTTTTCCAAATCACTCCTCCAAATCTGTTTCTTTTCTTTAGCTCCATATTCTGTTCATGCGTTAACATTCCGCGAGTTTGTCGCTCATACAAGCCGACTAGGTCGGAATTCAGAATCTCAATCTCTGATTGTAATGTTATTCGGACTGTAGCGTGCTTAGATGTTGATAGTTTGTTGGTAGAGGGTTTGAAATCACTGACGTCATGAGCATCGTTCACTTTTCATTGGAATTCAGTGACTTATTAGGTGTTTCTTTTTCCAAATCAAAAGATGTTTTCTTATTTGTAGGTGTAGATAAGATGTTTGTTTTACCCAAAACGTCAAAAATTAGCCTTTTTTAGCGGCAGCATATGCTTTTAGCTCCTGCAGCTAGACCTCCACTTTAAAGTGCAGATCTGAATCGCTTTTTAGTTTACTCCACTTTTCAACGACTTCTTCTTGTTTCCATCCATGATATGAGATTATTAGATCTACCTTTCAATTGAAAAGCCTCACACAGACAAAATTGATTCAGCGAGACACGTGCAGACCTATTGGTTGATCGAATAAACACGCATCACAAGCTGAACCTACACGCATTGGCATTTATTCCCACACCTACAAAAATCACGCGATATCGACATTGGAACTGATCAAATGATCAGTTACTTTTCCTCTAGATCGTTGCACTAACATGAGCTACCGGCATGAACACCATGATGTAAGGGAGACAAGGCGTGTCGACAAGGGCAAAAGTCGCAGCGATAAGTGTTGGAACAACGATATATTTCACAATCTTGACAACTTACACAAAAGTATACATTTTGTTATAAGTATCGCAAACAATGT